GCCCGCGCTGGTGCGGGATCTGGGTGAGCGGCATCCGCTGGTGAGCCTGTCCATCGCGCTGGCCACCCCTGACGATGCCGAGGCGGCACTGCTGACCGGCGAGGCCGACCTGGCGGCCATCTTCAACCTCAAACCGCGCCGGGAACTGCTGGTGCTCTGGAAGAGTGCGCTGCCGCTGGGCTGCGTGGTGGTGCCCGGTCACGCGCTGGCGCAGCGCGTGACGGTGAGTTTCCAGGAGGCCATGGCCTACCCGGTGGCGCTGCAGAGCAAGGCCCTGACGATACGGCGTTACCTTGAGGCGCACTACAACTGGCTGTTCAAGGAGCCGCGCCGCTACACCGAGAGCAACTCACTGCAACTGGTCAAGCAGCTGGCGTTGGGCGGCAACCATGTGGTGTTCACGTCCGAGCTGGACGTGGCGGCGGAACTGGCCAGCGGCCAGCTGGTTTTCATCCCCATCCGGGACAAGGGGGCTGAACCACAGGAGATCAGCGTGGCCGTGGATGCCACCAAGCCGCCCGGACCTATCGTGAAGCTGGTGTCCGAGCGGCTGATCGCAGTGCTGCAGGGCTGCCTTGCTGCGGCACGTGCCCCCGGTACACACAAGGTCTGAAAACAATGCTTTCTTGGGGGCAGTCAAACGAGATTGGGTAAAACTCAGGCTGCGTTATCAGTATGGGCTTAGGTTTTGCGCCGCCTGACCCGCCCCACAACAAACCCAAGCCCAAGATGCCACGCACAAGGTGGCCACAGGAGCAGGGCGGCGGCTTGTCCGTGCCAAAGCAGGCTTCTTTTCACCAAGGTGGCACCGTCGTAGCAATCGCCAGTGGGCGGGCAGCGATCGGTCAGATACCGGGACTGCATTAACAGGTAGAGGGGAATAAGGGCGACGATCAGCCACCAGGCGATGACGATGGCTCTGCGCATAAACGACTGCATTGTTTCTACCCCTCTCCATGGGAACACGACACAGAAGAGCCCAAGTCGCCAGTTCTACTGCCGCAAGGCACACAGGGACGATGGTCTGCCCGGAGGGGATCGAACCCCCGACCCACAGCTTAGAAGGCTGTTGCTCTATCCAACTGAGCTACGGGCAGAAACTTCAATGGCAAAAGACGCGCTGCGAATGTAACGCAGATACAAAAAAAGCCCACACAGTGAGCTTTTTTGAATGGATTT